AGGGCTGTCTGCTGCATCAAGGAAGGAGAGAGGTGATCGCCTGCATAACACCGGAAGTGTATGGACTTATGGGTGATTGAGTGTCCGAAGTCACTCGAGGGATTTCTTTCAGACACGCAAACTGCTTTTGCCTCAGCTCGGCAGACTACGCTGAAGAATAGCGACGGCAGGCGAAGGCAGCACCCACTGGTCAATGGCATGGCAAGAATAGAAGCGACGTTCGCATGGGATTCCAACCTATCAACGAAATCGATGGATGTCTTGTTATTCTCATCCTGTATTATTATCTTTTTACTGCATTCAAAACTAACTATATGCTCCTTCTTTATAGGTTGACGGTGGTCCAAATGGGCCCAAACCGACTATTGATATTGCATTTACACATCATGTGCTTACGATTCCATTATCATTACATCAATTACAATCTTGAAACCATCTTTGCATCCATTCCAATCTGTTCATGGACACTCGGTCATCGACCTCCAGAAAGCACAGATGCAGTAGCCACCGAGGAGGAAGGACACGACATGATATGGTCATCGAAACCTTCCTTGTGAAGCAGCGCGAGAAGGCTGAAGTTGAGGTACGCGGGCGACAGCTCCGGGAGTGGCGCATGGCCTTCCAAGTACCGCACGACTTGGCGCATGCTGGGCCGCGCTGTGGGCAGAGGATGCGAGCACAGCAGTCCAAGCTTCAGAACCAGCTCCACCTCCTCCACCGCGTACTCTTCCCCCAGCCTTGGATCCCTCGTCTCCAGTATCGATCCCTTCCGCCATTTCTCCACCACCCAATCCAGTAGAACCAGCTGCTCCTCGTGCGCCGTCGGGTCCACCGGCCTCCTGCCGCAAGCAACCTCCAGAAGGAATGTCCCGAACGCAAACACGTCGGTGATGGTGGTCGCCTTGCCGGTTCGAGCAAGCTCGGGAGCAAGATAACCCATGGTTCCCACGACATGAGTGGTCTGTGGATCCGTTCCATGATCGTACAACCTTGCTAGGCCAAAGTCGCCCAACCTTCCATTCAATTCATTATCGAGCAACACATTACTCGCCTTAATGTCTCTGTGGATGACGACTTGCTCCCAGTCTTCGTGAAGATATAATAGACCTGAAGCCACGCCTTTGATGATCCGAAATCGGGTCGCCCAATCCAGAGTAGGCTTAGCTTGATCATGTAGGAACTTTTCGAGGCTGCCATTGGGCATATAATCATACACCAACAGAAGCTCTCCTTGGCGTCGGCAGTAGCCCAGCAATTGGACGAGGTTTCGGTGGCGGAGGCGACCGAGGCTGACGATCTCCGCAATGAACTCTCTCATACCCTGTCTTGATCCATGGGACACTCTTTTAATTGCAACCTCCGATCTAGAAGACGGTAGCACACCCTTGTACACTCTCCCGAACCCGCCCCTTCCGAGAAGCTCTGTGTCCCTGAAACCCTTGGCAGCCTTGAACAAATCCTTGTAGGAGAACCGATGAGGCCCGTACTCGAGCTCCCAGTCTTCCAGGAGCTCTGAATACTTGGTCCTCCGTCTCAGGATGAACACGGCAATCCCTACGATGGTTAAAACAAGCGTAGCTGACGCCAATGGCAGCCCGATGCGCAAAACCTTAAACTTGTGATTTGATTTCGCACGAGGAAGAGAAGGCAGCAGGGAAGGGTCGAGCGCTTGGGCTACGCCATTCATTTTAAAGCTCCAACCAAGGACGTAGTGAGATGTTAGGAAAGAACCAGTGGAGGAGGAGAATCCAACATACATGAGATCCAATAACACGCTTGAAAGATTGATGACCGCAGATAAGAGAGGTCTATGGGGTTTAGCCATCGGGATTGGAGCTAAGGTAACATTAAGTAGCAT